GGCCACAGGACACTTCCCACAGAGGTCACAGATGCTCGCAGTTGAGCACCAGTGAACGAGCACGGGAACAGGGCACCGAGGGGACAGGGGGTCAGTGGGGGCCCTGACAGCATCTCCTAGGAGCATCTGTGTGCCTTACAGGGAGTGGGGGTAGGGAGGTGGGAAGTCAACCAGCAAAGCCAAACAATGAGCAGGATAATTTTGGATAAAGGTGAGTATGAAGAAGACAAGATGTAGGTCATTGGTAGCGATGGATGGGGGTGGGATGTAATGATGGCGATAGGCCAGGCATCCATGCTGGGTCATGAAGTCCATATAAAGCCCACAAGCTGACCCATGCAGAGCCCCCGGAGCTCTAGGTCACACATGTTGAAAGGTAGTCGACCACTTTGACCTCTGTTGCAAGGGGAGGGAGACCCTGAGGGGCGATGCTTGGTAGAAATGCAGAAAGGGTCAAAGGATGGTCGTTAGAGACAACAGATTTTCTGAAGAAGCACCTCCCAGTACCTGTCCCGGGGGGCCCCTGGTCAGGTGTCCATCTGGTGCCACTGACACTGACTCAGGCAGAATCAGACCCCTCAGGTACAGTCTCCAGGTTCCCACCGAGCTCTCAGGCACCCCCCCCCCCCACCTACCTGCCAAGGTGGGAGCTGGCAGAGCCTCTCCAACTGAGTGCACTGACGAGTGACTGGGCTTCTGAGTCCCGTGCTGGGTTCCCCAGGGTGGACGGATGGATGGGATGGCTTCGTGGCCAGGCACACCTCACTTTATTGTGCTTCACAGATGTCGTGACCTTTACAAATCACAGGCCAAACCCTCCACCTGTGAGAAGAACAGGACCCGCGACATTGTGGCGGTCTGGAAACTAACGAGTATCTCTGAGGGGCTCCTGTGCCGTGGGCTCGGAGACGGGGCGTTCAGTTACTACTCCTCCCAAACAGAGGCTGACAACCTTCAAGCGACCCGCCAAGTGGGTTGTCTCCAGTAGGCAAAAAGGCGCACTAACCCGTGTACTGGTGTGTGTCAGAGGCTCAGATCGGGCCCACTGTGCGCTGAGCATGCGTGTGCAATTCCAGCTTGTGTTCCCCAACATGTGACAGTTTAGGAGCCCTCGTTGTTCTAACCACCAGTGCTCTGGAGGCCATAAGCAGATGGCTGCGTTTAAGGTACACCACTCTGAATTGAGTTCCTTCTGATCACATCGTAGGTAGTAGGGGAGGTGGTTTTATGCATCCCCAGGGCAAGACCGTTAAAACATTTTCTTGTCTTAGGTAAAAGCCAGTGGTGATAGATTTTGATGGATTTCAATAATAAAGATCTGGCTAAATCAACTTGAGTAACATCTGAGGGATGACAGGATCCCACCTGTCAGCTGGTGCTTCCCTGAGGCCTGTGCCAACTGACACCTGCCGTCAGTTACTGGGAACGGCCGGGCGCTGGCTAGGCCTCTCGGTGGCCACGAGGGGGTGATCGAGGGCTACGCACGTGCCTGAATCACCGCCCCTCCCCCTTTCAATTCCTTCCTTCTGTTCCTCGGTACCCGATGTCCTTTAGTTCCGACAATCCTGGTGCATCCACTAGGTTGCTAGTGGTTCCCATAGTCTAACCTAACAAGTGACCAGGGAGCCAACGGGCCTTTTTCCTCCTTCGCAGGATCCTACTCCTCCCCACACCCTTGGCGATGGCTCCCCCGCAGAACCGGTGGCGATGGCACGGATTAGAGCGCGGACGCTCTCTCTGCCGTCCAGACTGCGCGTCCTCCTTGCCCGAGGAACTGAGGACGTGGGGCCTGGGGGCCTGAGGCGTGGGGGAAGGGCGCGTGGAGACAAACCCTACGGGTTACAGCCAGGCCTTCGGAACAGTCTGTAGCGCCTCTGAGGGTTTGAGGCCCTTCAAACCCTGCAGGCTGGAGCAGCGGGCTGCAGCCAAAGCCCGGTTGGGGGGCTGAGGTCACTCAGATTCCCGGCAGGGGATTTTGGCTTTGAGCTCAAGTCTCCCTTGTGCTTTGAGCGAATGAATGGTGCCTGGCTCTGTGTAATTGTTTTTTGCTTGAGAAGTCTGTGGGTGTTCGCGCTGGAGATGCAGGCACCACCGCGAGGCAGATCACGCCCTTAGAATTTGGGAAACGCAGCTACAAACCAGGGCAGATCTATTGCTCCTCCTGCTACACCCGAAAGCAGACCCAGGTGCTAACGGGTGAGGGCCCGGCCGCACCGGCGCCTGCACGTGTGGACGAGTGTGAATTGCCCTGTGACTCCTCTGTGTGGGTCAGAGAGCCCCCAAGGGCCACCCGTCCTCGGGCACAACAGCAGCACCTGGTCAGTCCAGCAGTCCCTCCTCTCCCAGCCCCAGGCCCACACTGAACGGTTTTCCAGGAGGGAAGAAACACAACCCTTCCTCCATTTCACACTTTTCTTTTTTCCCCAAGCCTCTGTTACCCAGGTAAACGGAGTGAAGCGTCAGCTTAGCCCTGTGAAAAGAGCTGGGGGCCCTGACCTGGCTTTGCCCCTGTTCAATCCAGTTGCCTGGCCCCAGATGAGCCCACTGTCGCCTGGCTGGTCAAGTGAGGGCAGCCGACAGCCGCCACCTGGCAATGAGGATGCCCTGGGTTTTAGCTGCAGCCGAGTCGCGCCCCCTCGTTCCTTCCCACGTGGAATTCTGGCCTGGGACGAGGACCCTCGCAGGCCCCACGGAACAGGACTGTGGGGGCAGCCCGAGGAGGCCGATTCTCCCTGGGCTGTGACTATCCCTTCCTCCTTCAGCCGAGCCCGACTGCCGACACCAGAGGTGTTCCTGTTCTGTATTCCTCGAGCTACTTGGGTCATCTACTTTCCTGACTGGGACTAGAACTGCTCCTTCCACTGCATCCTGTGCAGCCCGTTTCCAGAATGACCCCGAGAACAGCTGCCACCCCAGTTCCTGACTGTGTTAGAGGAGGCTGCTTCCCCAGGGGCCAGGATCGGCAGCACAGGACATCCTTGCTAGTTGCACTTTTCACTAGGCTGTGCCTCAAACATCCATTTCCTAATGGCTTTGCCAAGACCCCTGCTGCGTCTAGAAGCTCAGGAGAAAATGTTGTCCTTACTTGGTGTTCTTCACTTTGCACCCTGAAAGCACAGATCACTAAAGTGCAGATGGAGGTCTTCCCTCCCAGGAGGCACAGGGAGATGCCCAACTCGGGCAGGCATTTCTGCTGCACTGGTTAAGTGTTTTCCCTCCTGGCACACACGCCGCCTAGTCCCTTTGCCCCTGAGGCTGGCCGGCAGCAGCTAGCTCTGCTGCAGTGCTCTTGGGTGGCTCTGAGGCTCCCGGGGCAGCTTCCCCGCCGCTCTGACTTGTTTCAGTAAAATTGGGTAAGTTCATATTCTTGGTTGTCTTCTATTTTCATTGCGTTGCTCAAAGATGAGAAAGGAAAGGGCCCCTAACCCGTTCTTGCTCTAAGATCGGGACTGGCCTCCAGGCTAAGGAGGGGGTTTCCTTGCAGAATCATTCGGCTCAAGGCTTTGGAGCCCATCCGCTGGGAGGCGCTGACACCAGAGGGACGTCCAAGGCTCACCTATGGGGGCCAAGGTGAGGGGTCTCACCCTCCCCCGCCACGAGGCCTCCCTGGCCACTCCAGCCTCTTCATTCCATACTATCTGAACAGACAGGCGGGTGGACGAAGACACCCTAATTGTAGGTTCATGGAAGTTTCTGCTGTATCGTTTTCACAAACTGTTTCCACAGCACCTCTCAGCTGGAAGTGGAACCATCACAAAATGTCATAGCGAGGATTGCTCAGTGAGTTGGAAAATTCTCCCCAGCCTCTTTCTGGTCAAGGTTAGTGTTTTTCAGAAATGAGATTACCAAACTCAGTTCTTCTGATGTACTCACGTAATAGGCCCGCCTCTCTGGACTGGGGGTAGGCTGGGGTGGAAGGTAATGAACCTACTCAAGTGTCTTTAGGAGGGAAGCCTGGGGGGGGGGGGGCTGACTTTCTTTTCCCAAAAGCAGATTCATCAACATAGGGGCCAGGGGCCAGCTGGTACAGACGTGGAGATCAAAGTGACAGACCTTTCTACGCCATTGTCACTCCACTGCATTAAGCTTGGAAGTGCACCCTTGCAGATGCATCCCTTTGTCTTGCCCAGTGGCTTTAGTAAAAGAACTTGTATAACTGAGCAAATGGCTGCCCAATGAAAAGCAGAAGTTTGAAACTCAAGATGAGCTGCAGAAATCTGATTAAGAACTGCAGGATCATATCATTTTTCGCGCCCCCCGCCCCCCCCCCCACTATCGCACAGGGCTTTCACTTCCTTTGGTGAACACACCAACACTACGACGCAGTGAAAGACATCCCAACTGTCACTTTCTGACACTCAAGGGACATTAACCTGAACCTCCGTGTTTTCCAGCTGTGGAAGAGGTGGTGGTACTATCGCCCACACTTGCAGGGAGGTGCCTAAGCTGCATTTGTTGTAAGCCTGCTACATTATCGGGCACTTCGGAGTACTTACTGTGCCAACCCTGCAACTTAACCGCTGAAGACACAGAATCACAGAATTCTGTGTGCTAATACTTAGGTTTTACTTTGCATTATTTCGTAAAAGTTTAACACTATATTCTTTCAAATTCTTTACCCTGGTTGAATTTATACTCATATATATATATATTTTTTAATCCTCATCAGAGAATATGTTTATTAATTTTAGAGAGGAAGGGGGCGGGGGCAGAAACATCGATCAGTTGCCTCCTATATGCACCCTGACTGGGGATCGAAGCCGCACCCTTTTGGTGGATGGGACGATGCTCCAACCAACCGAGCCACCTGGCCAGGGCTCTATTCTTAAGTCAGTAAATGCAGAACAAGCGCTACACATGACAATGTCACGTTCTAACTGTGGGTTCAACCAGAGCAAAGCCAATTAGAAAGGGCACTTACAGGATGAGAACGCCCATTGTGAAAGGGAGAATATACATGCAGCTTACTTGCTTAGATCTGAGAGCCTAACTGATCACAGTAGAATTCATAGACTTTTTTATTGTTAAGCTGCAACATACATGGTTTAATACAACAAAAATTTCATCAAGTGAAAAGTAATGAACCGAACAATAAACAAACAAACACCCAGAACAAAGTATTTTCCATTGGAAACATGTTAAGATGAGCGTGGGGCTTCGCTACCACCTCACGGCGGGCTCCTCGTGTGTGGCCGGCCTGCGCACCCCGGGCTCTCTGTCGTCATGCGGAGGGGAGTGGGAGCGGTTAAATAAAGGAAAAGTCCAGTTTCTGCAGAGCATCATTTCACAAGGTAGCCAGACTAGATTTAGCAAATAAAATTACTCAAGAAATCCTCCACGTGTTTGGGGTCATCTTAGAATCCATGAACCTTAAGCTGTTCCTCCTTGACGATGCCAACCTGCGAAACAAAACCTGCGTTAGCACTATCATCTTGCGGACGGTATAAATTCATACTAGGAAACGTGCAGCGGCCATTAAAAACAACCCCTGTTAAAAGCTTATTGCAACATTTTCTCTTTTTTTTTTGTGGCATTAACTGTTAGTAATGATTCAACATGTGCCAGAAGACACCCCCTGTAGATACGGAACAGTCGGGTCATTCTAATGACAAAGCATTTTTAAGGGCTGCGTATAGCAGTCACTCACCTCCAACAGAAACTGGCAGATGTTTTTTCTTTGGTCACCTTGAAGCTGAATAACCTCTCCGTACTCGGGGTGTTCAATCACAGTGCCATTACAGGCAAATTTCTGGAGAAGTATGTAAATGTTCAACATAACGGAGTCAAATACAATGGAGTTTAACTCTCACCCTAAGACTAGCATTAACCACTCAGCAGGCGTGATCACGTTTAAGTACCAAGTCTCTCTCCTGTCGGCCCCAACATTCCCAAATTAATTTGAAATGAACCAGCAGGTCACGTAAAGGCAACGATTTTACTGGGAACATCAGGAACTAAATTATTTCACATGTGGTTGAAGGCCACATGAGTCTTACTTTAAGATGAGAGACTAGACATAAACATCTGACTGTTAATTTTGAGGATGCACACAGCCTTCTCCGGCCCAAGCATCTTCTCCCCCACTGGCACTGAAGGAACCACAACCCAGTTCAGAGGTGTGCATCAGTAACTCTATTTTCATCTCTTCTTCCCAACACCTGTACCTTTTTGAAAGCTTTCACAAGTTTCTTTTTGTCATAATCATCTGCAATGCCCTGAACAGTAGTCAGCGTCTTCCTGCCGTTCCGTTGCTGGATTCTTATATGAATGTAATCCTCAGTCCCTGCCGGGAGTAAGTCGTCACCCTTAGTTGCATCAGCAAAGGGGTCTGAAAAGCGATACAAAAAAAAAAAATTGAAAGCAGAAATTTTTTTTTTTAGTAAGTAATTTCCAGATCCATGGTACACTACAGCTTCGACAGTTCGCAAAGAAGTTTCTAGTGCCTCTGCTTTTTTTGCAGGTGGGGACAGGGGTGATGGGGGTGAGGCATAAATGAAACCCCCAAGGCACTCTTACGAAAAGGGAACAATTTAAACAAGCATGTCTAATCGATACTTGGACAGAAAATCGTTATACACAATGTTACCGTTGAACACAGTCCACTAGTAAAACGAAATTTTAAAACCTCAATTTTGTAGCAGCTATAAAAATGTGCGTCATCTCGATTACATTGTGTTAACAACAGAAACATTCAAATACCCCAATCATTTCACTGTAAAGGTGCCGTGCGAAAAGTAACGGCGACAAAAAAACCCCAACACAACACATATATATACACGTGTGAGCATATATATGCGTCAAGAGATGTGATTTTACAAATTACTACGCAAGTTGAGAAGCCGGACCCTGTGGCGGTTCAGAGGTCTGCATCCGCATCCTTTACTCCATGCCCCCAACACCTGCTCAGAACCGGCTGCGGCCCCAACGGATGCCGGTCCCCAACCCCGCGGCCCGCGTCGCCCCGGCGAGCAGCGGGGTCGCCGAGATGTCAAGGGGCGGCAGCCGGGTCCCGGCCGGGGTCAGCCGGCCGTCCTCGGGGAGGGGGTCGCCAGGGGGCCAGTCGCCATTTTCTGGGCGCCGAGACAAAGCCCCACTCGGGGTACGGGGAGGGCAGGAGGGTGGGGGGGCCCTGTGAGCGGTGGTCAGGACTGTGCCGCGGCGACGGCGGGTACGGACGGCCCGCCGGCCGAGGGGGCGCGGGGGAAGGAGGGGACGGCGGCGGGGACCAGATCTTACCGAAAGATTGGAGGTTCTGGATAGTGGACATGCGATACTAGTGTGAGGCCGGTGAGGGGATAAAATTCCTGCGGGGCCCGCCCGGATCGCCGTGTCAAGAGGCTGTAGTGGCGAGAGAAGGAAAATAAGAAAACGCTTCGCCCCGGGACTGGGATGCGGCTGGAGCGGCGGCGGAAGCCAGGAGGAGGCGGAGGCAGAGGCGGCGGAGACGGCTGCGAGGACGCGAAAGAAGAGGCGGCGCTGCGGCTTCTCCGACAAAATGGCCGTGGAGACTATTTTGATGCGCCCACCGCCCCGCCCACGTGCTCGCCCCGCGCCAGGAACCGTGGGACTTGTAGTTTTCTAGAGGGCACAGCTCTCGCAAAGCCTGGGGCGAGTGGGCTTGCGGGACCGCAATTCCCAGCAGGGAGTTCGCGGTCCGGCGCTGGTCCGCAGGACTCGAAGGGTCCAAAGGGGTGCAAATCCATCCCTCTGTAACCTGCTGGTCTGGGGCTGTCTTCTCCGCGCTCGCAGGCTCTGCGGTTCTGTTACCGTAGAGCTATGGTGCCGACGGGTGGGTGCTGGGGGATCATCTCCATCGGTCACTCTAGAGGCCGAGGGAATGGAAGTAAAAGCGGGGTGCAGGAGAACCACGAGCCCCCTAACCCTCGGCTTGCGACTCGATGGCTGCCCCTCAGCACCTTTGCGTCGAAAGCCTAGCTTCCCCTCCCCTGAGTTGCAGGAGCCCCGTTAGTCCCCACCGACGTCCACGCGGGACCCTTCCCCGCAGAGTTGGGCTGCCTTCCAGTTCCCCAGCGCGGTGGTTTTCAAACAACAGCGTACATCTCCTGGAAGCCTTGATAAAACAGATGAATAGACCCAGAGTTTCTGTTTTCAGAGGTCTGGGGTGTGACCCGAGAATTTGCAAATCTAGCAAGCTCCCAGGTGATGCTGATGGTGCTGGCCTGGGACCCAACTTCAGCAGCACCACTCACCTTCACCAGGGGCCTGGCATCCAGTGGGGGCCAGGGATGAGTCAACCGAACATACTATAAAACCAGCCTGTCAACTTGAACACAGGACCTTGAACACGATAGGTGCCTTATAAAAATTGAAGGTGAGCTCAGAAAAAGGTTAATCGATGTAGACTCGGGTACCAGAAAAACACACCTGAACCTTTGGGAATGGGCTCACCCATGGACCCCTGCTCAGAATTTGCTCTCAGTGCATGAAATAAAACAACAAGGGTTACAAAGGAAACCAATTATATAGAAATTAAAAATAATACATTGAGAACATAGTATTGTTTCTTTGCTATTGCATTAATTAACAAGATCTAGCAGCAGGTTTAATAACTACCAGGGTTTCAAAAGGTGACAAAAGATACTTTGAGAGGTCCGAAACATCAGAAATATGACGATACCTGTGCCTTATTGGGGCAAAGGACGATGCCTGTCCTTCTAATACTACTGTGATGTTGCCAGCATTCCGAATGGGGGAAATGCTATACTTTGCCTAAAAGTTAGTGAACATTTAGGTTTAACCATTTCTCCTAGCCAGGTTTGGGAATTCTGTCCTACCTCCCTCCTCTCCTCCACAACTCATCAGTGGACCAAGGATCTGCAGTCCGTAGGGGAAGAATATCTGGATTTAATAGAATCCCTCCTTTTTCAGACCTAGTGTTTACATCAGAAAACCCCAGGATCCCAGAAATCTCCAGTCTCCGGTTACGTCTACAGGTTGGACACCATTGCGAGTATTATCGTAAAAGTTCTCCTGGCTCTCTGGCCCCTGAGCACTTGTGGGGTATCTGGCCCACACTGACCTTTCCAAGACTTAAACTCTCGGTTTCACCTGTTTTTTTTTTTTTTTACTTTTTAAAATGGGGCTACTAGAATATTTAAAATGACAGGTGGCTGCATGCCATTTCTATCAAATAGCAAAGGTTTACAAAGAAAAGATTTGACCTATATGTAAAGTTATAAAAGGAATAAATAAAAGTATTGAAAACCTAGTATTTTTAGTTCTACATGGTACCAGGCTAGTTTAAGGTGATGATGTTCTGCCTTATTTCAGAAGGGGGTTTGGATTACTAGCCAAGAACAGTAGCATTGACAAAAGGAATCAGGGAAGATTAAAAAAAAACAAAAAACAAACAGTAGAGTAGTTGAAAAATAAAGCCCCAGAGCTAGAGAGAGACCCCCAAATGGCTCTTACTGTCCTAATGGTTAGGAGAACGAGAAGTCGGCTAGAAAGTCCACATGTCTCCAGGCGGAGAGCATGCCAGGTGTGTGGGGGGCATGGCTTGGCCTGGCCCCGAACCACAGGAGGGGTTTTCCTTGGGCCTCATAAAGGGGACACTGTGATGTATTGGGCAGCATCCCAGCAGTGTGCCTCCCATGAGGACAAGGGTGGGCTTTGTGCAGCTGTTTCCTGTACTGCTACTGACAGGGGCATGCTCTCAGGTTAGGACCTCAGGTTCCCCTCCACCCACAGGTCACCCGTTGTGGCAGGCCTGTGATAATGTGATGTGCGGGTTTCCTGCTTCACTGAACATCACTCACTGACCAACGGCCCCAGCTGCGGCACTGAGAATTCAGCATCTTGGAGGCCACGCTTCCCACTGGCTACGCTCAGCCAACGAGCAAGGATCCCAAGACAGGCCTGCTCTCAGGAGATGCAGGACCCTCGGATAGGCCGCTTTCCTCAAGGCCCCTCCACTGGCCTGGCTGGACTGTCTCAAACTGTCCAGGCTGAAGCCTAACAATCTTATTCCACCCTTCTTCCCTTTATCCTTCACAGGGTCCCCCTTCTGGCTCCTTCCTCTTTTCCTCTCCAGTCTTTCCCCTAATAAATGCCTTGTATGTCTAATTCCATCTGATGGAGTGATGTACCTAACTCCATACTGGTTGGTGAGGAAACAATAGGTAGAAGGACAGTTCTAGTTAAAATAAGTGGTTATTACCACAAGGCTTTCCCCCCAAACCCTGAAATCTCCTGCAGAGCTGTGCTAGACCCTGTGAGGCTAAGAGAACTTCTGCACGGCCTTCAATAGAAAAGGTCCAGGTGGCCTTGTCGTCTGGGTGTTCACCCCGCAGTAAGCCCTTTGTGGCTTGCACATCTGATGGTAAGAAAATGTTGACCCACTGATGGGCAAAAACAACCTTTGCCTCATGCTTGGAGCAGGCATCCAAATTTACTTTCTGTAGGGAAGGCTCCCCGCCCACCCCACCAGTTTCCTTCCCAAACACAATCCCCAGGGGAAGAGGCTCTTGGGTTTCTTACCCCCTCAGTGAGATTGGGAATCATCTCTCCCCACCGGCCAGCCAATGAGACCAAATACAAAGAGAAAACACAAAGAATGAGAGTCTGAGTCACGCACTGAGCATTATAACCAGTACTTCCCACATCTCACCTTTGAATGAGGGTTATATAAAGTTGCATTTCCTGGCCGCAACCATGTTCCCAAAAGATTGAACAACTTGCACAGAATGGATATAACTCAGTTGCTACTATCTACCTAAAACAGTGATGACTGAGTCAGTTTCTGCAGAATGGATCAGAACGCCTGAGAGAGAGAAAGGCGTAACCTAGGCGTGTTTCCTAGTCTCATGGGCTTTGTACTCGGTTATGGTGGTGCGGGAAGAGTGAGGAGAAGGGGTGACAGGCTTTGTGCGTGTAAGCATTTAATTTTAAATGGTGGTGACCCACATACTGACGACATCGAGCACATTATATGTAAAGTATCTACAGAGCAGGACGTTGAAGAGAAACAAAAAGTGTACGTGGACGAAGGAGTCGATATCTATTTTTATTTTCTGGGTGCTTATAAGTCTTAAGTCCAAGCCAACATGGCATCATAAAGCAAGTATGAAAATAAGACAATTTCAGGGATCTGGGAAGTTGAAGACGTAGTAGAGTTAACCCCGGAAATCTAAGGATGCCCCCTGTGGCCATAACTCTCAAGTGTGGATCATGATTAGGAGAGAGTGTGGCTACGTGGCCATGACCCTCAACTTCCAGTCTCAAGGAAGGTTCTAGAAGCAGAGATGCATTCCTATTTCTCCCCTGCCCTCCAGTTGTCAAGACCTGTGAGGGGTCTGAGATGTTACCCTACTTGCAAACTAACACATTGGCCTGCCACTGTTCGATGGAGCTGATAGAAGACAAGAGCCTCCAGGGTTAGGGACAAACAACTGTTACTCATGGCAAAGGCATGAGCCAGAGCTCCATGTTCGTGCTGGTTGCCCTGGCCGCCGAGTCCCAAGGGGCCACACGGGTGGCCGAGGTGGATGCCCACCCATGCAGAGGGGCTGCATCCAGGCGAGGAGCCCTGTGCTGGGGGAATCCGTCCCTTGTACGAGCAGTAATAAGATTGTCTGGAGAGGGATGTGCACCTCATCCCTCAAGGCTGCGCCCTGAAAAATGGATGGAGTAGAAAGCAGCCTCTTAGATTCTTGGCCAAACCCATAAGGACATGCAGGTGCCCTCGGGGGCCACGGTGGATCGATTCTCCCAACAACTGATGGATCAGTCCCCTTCCTGTAGTCTGGGGTGCTACATATGCTCTTGGGACACTAGGTCAGCCACGTGCACCAGTGGACAAGGCCTGTGGACAGGTCACGCCCATGGGTGTGTCTCACTTTCCATTCTTTTCCATTTGTGTTTCTCACACCTGTTCTGTGGGAGTGGTGGCTCATGGTCGAGTGTGCACTTTGACCGTGCCGGGACTCAAGGGCAGTGGTGCAGTGGTTTAGAGTCTAGGCTGAAGAGCTAAATAGCCAAAAAGCAGAGACCACCCATGTGCCCACTGATCAATGAATGAATAAACACTCGGTGTGTCCCTGCAATGGAATGTTACTTAGCTATGAAATGAACCATGTTACATGCTATAACATGGGTGTACTTTGAAAGCATGCTAAGTGAAAGAAGCCAGTCATGGAAGGCCACATGTTGTATGATTCCACTTATTTGAATTGTAGAGAGTTGGCCCATCTATGGAGATGGAAAGTAAGTTCTTGGTCGACTAGAACTGGGGGTGTGTTTGAGGAGAAATGTGTAGTTCCCACTACTGAGTTTCTCTCTGGGGGGGGTGAGAATATCCTGAAATTATGGGAATGGTCACACGGGTCTACAAATACACAAAAAGACATTGAATTCTACACTTTAAATGGGTGAATTGTATGGTCTGAAATATATCTCAATAAAACTTACAAAAAGAACGCATGCAAAAAAAGTGGAAATGAGTTTCTTACTATCTGTGAATACATTAAAATATTAACAAGGCCAGTCAGCAT